GTGAGAGATTTTAAGAATCTTCGTGGAGACTTAAATTAATTACATCATTGTGTGGGATAATAAATCCTCGCAAATATAGTGATTCTCAATTTTTATAATAAATAAATGATTTTTGTAAATAATCATATAACATAATTTAGAAAATTAATTAATCAAATTAATGAATTTAAATTGTAATCATATTCACCAATTATATCTTTTAGTCATGTGAGATTTTTGAATCTCCGTAGACCTCTAAGATAATCGTATTATCATATAAGTTAATAAAACTCTGCAGATATAATGATTAAGTTTTTAAAATATATATATAAATTATATATTATATTAATTAAATTAAAGACGTGTTTAAATTTAATTCCTTTATCGTGTGAGATTTTAGAATCTCCGTAGATATTTAGGATAATCATATTACCGTATAAGTCAATAAGGCTTTTGCAGGTATGATGATTAAAATTCTTTAAAAACATGTATCTACATGCTAAAAAATTATTATTAACACTTAAAATGTACATAAGAATATAAATAAATTAATTAAATTGTCAAACTCTTTTATCGTGTGAGATTTCAGAATCTCCGCAGATATTTAGAACAATTGCATTACCGCATGAATCAATAAGGTTCTACAGGTATTGTGATTAAAATGCTCAATCATAAAACATAAAGAAAAATAATTTTAAACCCTTTCCTTTCTTTATTAAAAATTCAAAAATGAAGAAAATAATTAAAATTAAATTACCTTCTGCAATTTAAAACACACATATCAAAATTTCAGAAATTATTTTATTTGTAAAATGGTGAATTATTTCTAATTAATTTCTCTTCAAAATATTTTCACCAACAAATTTTTAAGCCCGAACTACGTGGACTTTGATCCCCATCACAGGGTACGTAGGTCTCAGAGTCAGATTCTGAGTCAAGTCCATCCTCCCTCGTAAATAAATAAACATTTCTCACTCAATTATCATGATTTTTATATCAGACACATGAATATAAAAGGGATAATTAAAATAATTATAAAACCATATTAATAGAGCATAACAAACTTCAGGTAACCGTTCTCACGAACGGGTGTTGTGGGGTGCCTACCACCTTTCCCACACTCAACCGACTCCCGAACCTATTCTCTAATTTCGCAGACCACCCTTATCCTTCTTTTAATCGGTTTCCCAAGATTTACCTCAAAATCTTGGTGGCGACTCCTCGTTCGATCCGGTTCCCGCCGTGAAGGCCGGGACCTCCGCTCGCGCGCCGTCCGCGTCGCATTTTTCCGGGTGTGACAACCATCACCGTTACTGTTATGACTGTGTAGAGGGGTAGAGGCTAGAAGGTGAAGGGAGAGACAAGAGAGAGCAGGTGGAGGGCATAGGTTTACGTTATCATCGTCGTCGTCGTTCTTCTTCTTCCTGGTTCAAGCATTGGCATTGTGCCTATGTGTGGCTGTTGTTGTTGTCACCGTTGTGGCTGTGAAGAGTGGCGGAGGCTAGAGGGTGAAGGGAGAGATGAGAGAGAGTAGAGGGCATTTTGGCCAAAAAAAAAAATCAATCCCAATATTAATTTTCTAGTACCAGGGGGTGGGTGGTATTGAGCAATTTCATCTTGATGGGATTGGGATTAAATTTTCTATCACCTCTTACCAAACATAAAAAAGTGGGATTGCTCAATACCAATCCTATTCCCACCTTGTCAATGCTGTGTGCTAAACAAGGTCTTTGTGTTCAAACAACATTTTTTGTACTTCAATTATATTATCATAGAAAGGATGAGATTTTTGAACACCTCTGTATGTTAGGTTGAGTGCATCAAGGGAGTTCGAGTAAATACTCACCTTATCAAAATTTAATCTTCTTCCAAGCTCCACTACACCTTTGATGGCTTTAATTTCTACAATAGTAATAGGCATATTGCCTAAATTGCTTAAAAATCCTCCTAGCCACTCACCATCTTTGTTTCTAACTACATTGCCACAAGTAGCATTAGAAAAATATAATTAATATCCCATCAAGTGTTTTATATTAAGACAAAAAAAAAATTCTAGAAGGTGTCTTATGATAGAGACAAGGAGTATACAAAAAATTTAGTTTACAAAATCAAGCTAGTAATTATTTTCTTTATTAGTAAAAACACTAATAACTAGGAATCAAAAATTGGTTACAGTAAACTTCAGAAAAACTTCAATTTGACGAGGAAAAAATTGAATCAGAAAAAGATAATAACAGCAAAGTCTCAAAAATAAATTAATATCAATTAGGTTCTCAATAATTTTTTTTAAAAATAAATTATAAATATCAATTCAAATAATTATAAATAAAAAATTCATTTGCTATCCAAGAGCTACATTTAGAACTTAATATCTTATTTATAGTCATAACTTTTAAATTTATAATTATTTAAATTGAGATTTGTAAGATATATTTTTAAAAATTTTATTGGAATCTAACTATTATTAGTTTATTCTTGTAGAACTTGATTAAGATTAAATTTTTTTATTGGCAACAAATTAAGGTCCTGTTTGTTTAAAATTAAAAAATAAGTAATTTTTAGATAATTTAGGGATTTTATAACAAATTATTTTTTAAATATTTTATAAAAAAGATTTTAATTTATATTTAGTTAAAATAATAAAAAAGTGATTATTACTTAGTTATTTTTAAATTTTATAATATATCTTTCTTATTTTGCCTCTTTAAGACACCCTCTCATCTAATGCATAAGATTATTTTTAGAAGTTATTTAAAATAATTTCTTAAAATAATAAAAATGTACTATCTTTTTTTTTCAAATTCTGATTATTTTTAAAAGCTTAAACAAACGATATAAAAATCATAGAATATATTATTTTTTAAAAAATAATTTTTTTCATAAAATAAGTGATATTTATAACTCATTTTTAAAAAATTTTGATACATAACTAATGTTAATTTCCTTTATACGATTCCATTGTCATTCTTAACAAAAAAGAAAGAAAGAAAGGAATAGAAAATAGAGTTTGTAGCTTTTATTATGAGCTGACAAAGATCGCATTTTCCACCTCATTGTAACAAATGATCAAAGAAGACAATGACAATGAAAAAGCACATCGTGGACTCGACATTAAGAGAACAAAATCTTTATAATCTTAGTAAAACAAAAAAGAATGAAGTCAATGAGTACTCTTCCTCTTCTTCTTCTTTTCAAATAATTACCATGCGTCACGATCAAATTATTAGGCATGCGTGTTAACCGACCTTGAAAATAAGTTAAACTTTCAAATTTGCATAAACTATAACCTGCATCATTGGATCAAATTATTAATTTGTATTTTTATTTCCCTGTATTAACAGCATGTACTGGTGGTAGCACGAGACAACAGAGCATGGTTGCGGTTTAGGTTTTCAGAAGTTCTAGTCCGCAGCACTTGTGTTCAGCCCAAAACAAATCGCTGGGAGACAGCTGAAAGTTGTAGTAAGTAGCTTAACCCACACCAATATCAGTCATCAATCTGTGCATGCATGCATGTATATGTATGTTATATGTATGTTGAAAATTAAAAAACTAATAAGCTCTTGTTTGATTTTGTCACCAGTTCTTCTATGATCCCATTGTTGTTACAACTAACCATCAACACTAGCCACCCTCTGCCACCATGCTTGCCATCCTCCAGCATCATCAAATAGTGGTAGTGAACGATGATTAATGTAATGATAATTGATGATGATTATTATTGATGGTGGTTAGGTTAGTCACCATTGGCTATCAGTGGTTGACTAGCAATGACTAATGGCAATGATAGGATGATTATGGGTGACAGATAAATGGTGGTAGCCAATAGTAACGACCACTAATAGTGGCTAATTGTGACATCTAATGACTAATATGGACCAATGAGGGCAATTGAGGGCAATTGAGGGGAGCTTGTAGATAACTGCTAGTGGTTAAATCAAATGTAGTATGTTTTTAATGTTTTTATAAAAGAAAATATAAACATTATAAGATGTTTTTCTTTGTTGTTTTTAAAAATAAAAAAATGCAAACGATTTTAAAAACATCTTGGTGCAAAGCACTTACTCAAACAAGTTTTGAAATATATACTATATAGATATATAATTCATGATTGAATTCTTTTATTAAAAAAAGTTGTCCTAAGCTATTTGATTTTTTGGGAAAAAATTGTCAACATCATTAATTATAGTTATTTTAATCTTTTAATCTTTATGATTTAATGTAGTTCATCTAAATAATTAACTTAACATGCATTATATATTACATGCCATATTTATAAATTAATTTTACCTCGATATATTTTTCTCCTCTTCTTCGGTTTAAATTATATATATTATTCAAATATAATGACAGTATATAAGAATTGCATCATAAAAAAATTAACATAATATTATTAAAAGCTTAATGATAGAGATTAAATTGAAAAAATAAAATAAAATAAGTTGATAACACATTTTTATACAGGGACCAAACCAACACCACCAAGAGTATTACCCATTGATAACAACAATAATTTCCCTTAAACTATTGAGGGTAAAAAAACAAATCCCTTCCAACTGCATGTCCCAAAATCAAAAATTGAACTCCCACTACTTATACAAATTAAAAGGGATGGAAACTCCTATTTAAATCCTATTTAAGTTGGCTGATCTTTATTATTTTATATTTTGGTTTTGATTTATATTTGGTGCGGTGTCAACTTTATCGCTTGCCACTTTTTTTTTTCCTCTCCTTAACTTGCAAGACTAGAGTTGGAAATCAATTTGACTACACCTTATTCTAAACCAAATCTCTTTAGCTCATTCACATCAACTAACACAATTCTGCAATTCATAGTCTTGTAAATTAGATTTTCCTAAGACCTTTGACAGATGCACGCTATCTCCAAACCAATGTGTATCAATTTTTTTTTCTCTTGAATCTTTTTAAAGTTGTATTTAAATTGTGCCCGTGGTTATCTTCGGATATTACAGGCTTTTATGCATGTTGTATTCTGTTTCCCTCATAGTCAACACGAAATGTAATTATTTATGCCAATCATCCAAAGGACAGACATAAAGTTTATTAGCCATCCAGATTTTCTAATCAATTCACTTAATCCACAACAGAGACTCCACCTTAGATATTGGTGATTTACAAGGTTTACTTTATGGAAGTGAACTTACTGAGAATGAACTGAAGATACAGTTGATGTGACAGCATTTGTTCGTGGGTCAACGCTTTCAACACAAACCCCACAAGGATATTCTCTAACTAGCAAGGCAAGAACATTGAGTGAACTCCATACTTGAGTCACATTTTTGCTTGAATCTCCCAGTATAACAGCAAATATTGCATCAAATCCTCCTGCTCCTGGAACTCCAGCCAACATAACTCCTTCCAACTTCATAGTGGCATCCAGAAGTCGAGTCTGTGATTCTGGTTCAATCTGGATATTTTACAGACAATGAGATGATAGAACTCGTGAATTATGTCAAGTTTTGAAATATCAATCTTCCATATGAAGAATTATACAGGATAAACCCAAAAACAGTGGGTAATTTTGCTGCTTTCACAATTATGTTCCCATCCATCCACTCCTCTTTTGGCAGATTAAGTCTATTATCATCGTTTGGCAAATTGGATTTCCTAAGCCAAAAGGAATATATATTAAATGGTACATGAAGCCATAATATGAAACTTCATTCAGTTCACAAATGACTTGTTGCGGCAATACATTCTATTTCTTCAATTTACCAATAGAAAATTAGAAGAACTTAGCCTGGTCAGTCCTACTTTTATGAGAAGTAAGAAATGTTGAACATCATAGGTTTTAATGGAAAAGGCATCACTCCTGTCTCAGAGCTAAAACATGAGTTTATGTGGGTAATGTTTATCTATCTCAATTTGTAGACATTTTCATGAGGAAAACATTGTACAAGCAGAAAACCGTAAGTTATGAGCACTCTGTAATGAGCTTACTGGAACACCTGCAGCCTCACCCATCTTGCGCATAAGAGATCTGATCAGAAGCATAGCGTCTTTTGCTCCAAGCAGTGCGTTAACAACTGCCTCTTTGTTGGGTTCAAAAGCTTGTTCTATCCACTGATTGTGGAGTTTGAATATCAAACATTACCATGAAAGGAGAAAAGCAATAAGAATTTTCAATATAACATGGAAAAGTAATGAAATTCCATGTCATAAAAGATGAGTCTCAAAAAACACAGGCCATGTATGTAGTTATCGAGTTCATTCACATTATATAATTGAAAACCAAGTTGATTGTACTGTTTTCTCATATGCATTATTCTTGTTAATCATCACTGAGTGTCTCAGTCATCGTTATATAATATGTAGACCAACTATTTGTTTCATTAACAGCAGATTAACATAAGAATGTGATTGGCAATGGTTTTACTTGCAAGTTGCGAGGGACTGAATTGATAAAGCCATTTTAAGATGGAAAATTAAAAAAGTCCTATCTGTAAGGGATCAAAATGATTAACCAATTCTATGAAAGATCATCTTAAAAATACCCAACCTCTTAGGGACCAAAATAGTGTCTAGTGGATTCTATATCAAGTGAAGATATTTGTTCTTCAAAAACTTCCATTAAAAATTCACAAATTAGCTCGAGAAAAACCTTATCTGATGTGAGCATGCTGCAGTTGTTTTTAACACATTTATATGCATCCCATTGCTCTTTTGATAATTTCGTTAACAAGTTCAATTGCCCTTCCAGAGCTGAATTTGCGTCCAATAACCTTCTCCATGTATCAAGGGATTTATGAGGGTCAGACTTTTGCCATTTCTTAACAGCACCTACCATTGAAGGAGTGGATGATCCCCCTGTTCCTGGTTCGCCTAGTAACTAGAAAAGAGTATTAACCAACATGAGAAACAAGATGTTTCATGTACTCCAACAAGAAATTCATATTTTAGTTAACATGGCTCCAATTTATTATAGATAGGAAGAACCCTGGCACTCCCTTGTAAATTCACAATCTAATCAGGGAAGTGCCCGATAAAATATGAGAACTTAAACATCATGAGAGATGTTTGGTAATTAAAAACCCAAATTTGGTATTGATAAGAAGGAAAATTGATAGAGCTCATGATTTTCTAAGACTTATAAGAGGAAATCAAGGAAGGCAATGAGCTTAGAAGATAACATTGTTATTGGTTCAGATGTTTGCCCTCCAGATCCTGGTTATAAGGAAAAGTAATTGATAGACTAGTGATGTGTTAGAGCCCTAGTGACGTGTTAAGAGTCTCCTAGGGGTAAGGGTTGTGTTAGAGTCACTTTTTGGGTCTTTAAATCTCCCTCTTTGTCTAGAGAGAGAGGGGGAGTATTTTGAATATTGAGTGGTGAGGAGAGCTCTGGCCTCTCGAACGCCAGGTTGGGGGTGGAGGAAGTCATCTTTCTTCATCATTTTATCTTTTGCTTAGTGTATGTTTGTGAGTGAGTGACTTATATTTTGTGATTGTTGTTTGGTGGAGTGTATTTTGTGCTGTTTCTGTTTCAGTACGCTGTAATTTTCAGTTCCTTATTTTGCTATAATCCAACTTAGCTATTCAGTAATAGTAATTTTCAGTCCCCATTTGTACTGTATTTTCTGGTTTATTCTTGTTTAAAGCTTATTAGAATAGAGGGTTCCATCAAAAGTTTTACAAGGAACAAAAGGCACACTACCATCTCATTTTCCCTTTTTGTCAAGGATCTTAAACTATTTAGTGAAGGTTTGTAGTTGGATATAATAACATTTTTAACGCCCCCTTTGAAGAAAATTTAGAATAACCAAATTGATTTGAAAAATGAAACGTGTGAAATTTAAATTTCTTACTAGAGTCACTAAGGGTGGTAAAGAAAATTCAGTCTTCTCATGGTCCCATTTTCCTTTTAGAATGCCAGCGATAACCTCTGGTAAAGGCACTGCTCTTTCTGCACCCTGTAATGTCCCAAAGAATCAATAAACATGAAGTTAATGATGTTACATTAAACAATTCACTGCCATGATTCAAAAATATCATCAAGTCAAATATGTAAAGGTAACCAACACAAGCATTGTAATAAGTTTGACAAAGAACTTGCAATAAAAAAATTACAGAGCCAGTAAAAAGTAGTTCTTGAAATGCAATAGTGTGCATCTACGGCTTGCATTATTCAAGAGGTAACCCAATAAATGGAACAAATTAACAAGTGCTGTGGAATAAAGATGGGTTGTTTATGGGATCATATATCATGCAAACGTACCTGCCCAAGTGTTTCAAGATTTCACAGAGCAGAATGATCACCAAACTCAAAAAGAACCCAAGATTTGGAGTAGACAAACCATCATCAACATATAAACAAATATATGTATGTATTTATATCTTTGTTCAATTTTCTCTGGTCAGGAACTTGGATGGCCAGACCATCTGAATTATAGCATTGGTTCTCAATACACAATGCAACTTGCTATACACAAGTAAAAAGAAACATGCATAATCACGGGAAAAAACCTGGGCAGAAGAAATCAACTCTGGTGAAAACCGCACATAGCGTTGACTGCCATAAACTGCTGAACAGACATCAAATCCACTGCCTATTTTTCCCTGTGCAACACAGTGAGCAGTTTGAGCTATCTTGTGCACAACGTCAAGATCTGCTGTATCCTTCCTTGCCTGATAATCTTTAGACGAGGAAAGCTTTACAACTCCAAGGTAATGAAGTACAGAAGCAACTACAGCAGTTGTCATTGCTGCAGATGAGCCCAAACCTGTTTTAGCTACTTCAGGCTTGCAATTTCCTCCATTGACATTCTCAACATTGAAGGTTATGGAGGTAAAAGGTGGAAAGTTGGCCAACGATTCAGTTGTCAAAGGAAGCCCAAGTTCTTCAATCTGTACAAGAATTATTTTCCTGGTTTAAGCTTTTTGAATACCATGTGTTTTTCAAGTCCTCAAAAAGTTAGGGAGAAAATCTTGAGATGGGGAAGATGAAAGAAAGATTTGAAAGATAAAACCCAACAAAACTTCTTTAATAAAACATGTTTCATCAGTGCAAATTAATTGTTCTATTTACTATTTAGCAGTGATCATAATGGATACCAAATGAAATTTTCAACATGGTCAATGCAAACTACTTCAACCAAAGGAAAAAGAGTCGTCCAGCAGATAATGAGGAGAGACAAAAATAAAATAAACTACCTGGTTCCTATACGAATAAAAATCATTACAACCCAAAATTGTGATGCCAAGACCTGCAAGACCAATCCAGTTAAGAAATTGGAGCTTGAAGCTCTTCTTTCTCTCATGAAAGGATAAGAAAACATAAATCAAACAGTACCTTGCAAAAGTAAGTCCTTCATATTCTTATCAAACGCTGCCTGAGCAGCAGCTACAGAATATTGCACTGCATATTCCACAAAAGGATTCCCGGTTTCACTGAAATTGTGAAACAATTAATTTAAGCCTCATCTCAGTGTTTAACTTAAACTTGCACTCAATCTTCACCCCTGACTGACCATACACAATTTTTATCCTACAGTAAATCAACCTCTTGATAGATTGTGAAGTTTGGATTCCATTCCACAAAACAGTTGTAAATTATAAATCAATTAAAAATGAAAAAAGAAGCTTTGAAAGATATATAGAACATGAAAAAAAGAAAAAGAAAATTTACCTCGAAGAAACACATTGGATAGTAAGATTCTCCAAGTCTAGTTTGTACATGCCTTCTCTGGACAGCTGAGGTGATGTCAATTTAACATCTGTCCACGCCTGAAGAACATGCAAGTTGCAAGTGATAAAATTACTAAAACTGGCACATTTGTATAGAGGAAAAAAATTGTTCAGGCCAATGAAACACCAAATAAATATGAACAAAGAGAAATTGAGTAATTGACTTTAAGTATGTGGTTCTGAAGATGATCATGAATCATGAAGTGTGGCACATGACACTTGAAGCCATGCATGAGTCAATTCAAATATTCGGATATACTTGAGTCTTGATCCATGAATTATGGCACATGACACTTGAAGCCATGCATGATTCAATTCAAATATTCGGATATACTTGAAAAGTTCCTTTCGTTTCAGAAAACAAACAAACAGCTTCGTATGCGAAAGAGTTATCAATTTGCCATCGCTTTCATGATCTTCACCCATAATTAGAATACTACTTAGCAGCTAGGAAGAAGAAACATAAATCAAATACAAATGCATCACACAAAGGACAGGTATAGAATAAGAACCCACCCCTGCGCAGCTATCGGATTTCGGTTCTTCAAACAGTGGTTTCACGATTGCATAAAACCGAGCATTGGTACTGAGTACAAGCCCTGAATTTGGCCTCTCCAATATCAGGTAACCCCCGGTCATCAACACCTTCCCCGGAGCAGAAGCTGCGCTGAGTAGAGAAAGAGTCAACAAGTAACAATTGGAGTACAGGTGTATTTTTTTTGCTCCTCACAATAACATGGGTGGAGGAAAACTGATTACTAATTCCCTCCGTTTGATTGATCGCGATTCATAAAACGTCTACCCCTTCATCAGAAAATTCTCATTTTACATCGGTCATAATATGAAAACGTTATTGTGGCAATTGAATTGGAGATGCAAATTCTTGGTTTGAAGGATGAGAATGAACTTACACGACCATTGTTCGTTCACCGCTCATCCCAATGAAAATAAATGTTGAGATGTAACTCAGTTCAGCTAGGAGACCAATGAATGCTTCAACTGTAAATGAAAATACTTGAACTCAGCCATCAATTGCTACAATCATGAATCGCTTGAGAGATAGAGAGAATGAACAAGAAACTAATAGTAAGCATTGCACCTCCAGACTTTCGGGGTTAGAATCCCTGCTCCCAGCAAATCAATGGCTCTGTTTTGATGGAGTTCATTTTCATATGCTTTTCTCAGATTCTTGGACTTTTGTTTTCCAACGAATTTTGCAGCTTCTTCAATTAGGAACAAGAATGTAAAAGAAGAAAAAACATCATATGAAGAAATTGGCGAGTCAAGTGAAGAAACTGTTCAACTGTAAAGAAGATGACGTTACGACCCGTTGAATAGAGAAAAGAAATGGCATTATTTATTTATTTATTTATTGGTGAATAGAAATGGCATTATTTGGCCAAAAAAAAAAAACAGAATAATGTAAGTTTCTCGCGTTGCACGCGGCTGGTAGGCTGTGGCATTGTTTTCTGGTTGTATATACACCGTGATATTGAAAATCAGATCGGACCGGTCGGGTCAACCTGAAAAACCATGAACTGGTTCCCTGTTCGGTCTGGGTTTGCTTTTAACCCGATGAGAGAGTAAACCGGTGTAACCCGGTCAACCCAGGTTCAACCCGGTGGGTTGACTGGGTTAACCGGGTTAATATTTTTTCAGACTTTTACCCCAAAATGACGTCGTTTTTGATTTTTTTTTCATTTTTAATTTTTCAAAGCTCTGAGTTCGGAAAAAAGATAACAAAAAAAAGTGAAATTGAAGTCAAAAAATAAAAGTTAGAGATAGAGCATGCTAAGTCCAAAAATATAGTATTTTATTATTGTTAGACTTTTGAGTGGTTGGATTTGGTTAAATATTTTTATAATTAATGTCTTTTTATTTAAATTGTATTATTTTAATCATGACCGGTTTGCCACCGGTTCAACCCCCGATTCAACCCCGATTAAACCACTAACCCGTGACCCAGTGCCATGACCGGTTTAATGACCGGTCCGGTTTTACGTACCTTGATACACACACACATTTGAATAGAAAGCACCGAATTCAGAGCTATTAAAACAACGGGAAAATCGCAACTAAGATCCCAGAAACAAGGCATTTGCAGATAAGGCCCAAAAATTTCTGATATTCCTATGTAAGACCTTATTTGCAATCATATTCCTCATTGAAATGACCCAATTACCCCTAGTTTGAAAAACATAGCCATTCTTTGATTTCATCTTTTCTTTCTTCTCTTATTCAATCTCACTCTTCCTTCTTTTAGTTCTTCCTCTTCCTTTTCTAACATTAATGCCCTCCTCAAGCTGAAGCAATCATTTACCAATGTTGTTTCCATTTCTTATTGGGTCCTTGATTCCTATCTCTGCTATTAGTCTTCACTTTTCTTTCTCTTCTCTTCTCTTTTTTTTTTGAAAAAGGGCAAGCCTTAGCTTGAGAAAAGAGAAACAAAGTAACTAAAGGCTAACTAACTAATCTTAGTTTTGTCAACTAAAAGTAAGCCAAACAAGACGCTGGACAAGCTTGCAAGACTTGGATATCAATTCCATCCTTGTTTCCTCCTCTAGCTAGAAGATTAGCACATTATAGTACATCTCTAGGCACGTGATTAATTGAAATATCCCGATCACTATAGAGAAGCTCTCTAATGTCGTAAATCAAATCTCGCATGGGGTGAGTGTTGGATAGGAAGGCGCAGCGGAAGATTAAAATTCTAAATTTTCTATCCTGGTATGGACCGAACAAACCCATTTAAATCAAGGTGGATAGAAGAGTTACCTTTTAATTCTTTAAAGTTGACGCACGTTTGGATCTCAAGAGCTGACAACATAAATCTACTCCCTCTACCGGTATCCACACGAACAGCTTTCTAACTTGAGCAGCGTGCTAGCGCTCTCAGCGTTTGTTCTTCTTTGAAAGTTAATTTTTCTTTCTATAGGGTGTTTTGTGGCTCTCAGAATGTTTTTACCGTCAGAACTTTTCTAACTCTCTCATCATTCATAAAAGACGTCCCTATCTATATATAGTATATAAATAAGGGTTTTCATCTTCTACTTAAAAGCCCACAAAAATTTAATTAAATTTATCTCATAAATTTAATCCATAATATCATATCTAATTTAAATTTATCTTATAAATTTAAATTATAAAAATGACATGTTATTCTCTCATATCATGTTAGCTATTAAATTTAATCTATTATATAAGATTAAATTTAAAACTAATATAATATAATATAATATATCACATATACATATTATATTATACACACACACACACACATTTCAAATATATATATATATTATATTTTATATTTTATATTTCATATAAATATATATAAATATTTATCAAATAAATATTTAAATATATATGTGTGTGTGTGTGTGTGTGTGTGTGTGTGTGTGTGTGTGTGTAAAATTCATTCACCCTATTTTATATTCATTGAATCTAGACATATTTCAGATTCAACGAACTTAGATATTATAGCTCGAGTTGGGCTGTTCTTATGTGTGACCCTGTAGGCCTATATGAAATTAGCAATGGGATAATTACGCTATTAGCCCACAAGTTACAAGTGGCCTACAAGACTTGCAACTACTAAATTCACATGGGGATCGATGATCCAATGTAACCTATCATGCAACCATATCACATTCCTTTTGTCACGCAATATTTTGATTAAGTATGAGACATGAAATTGTCATTCTCCTTTACCTGACCGTTATTTTCTCGATCTCTAAGTAGACTGACAGTAGTAATGAAAAAACCTTTTCCATTATAGTATGATCATACATTTTCTCAATCTTACTCATCAAGGGGCCTAATAATATCTCTCACTTAATGTGAGGGACAAATTCTATCTTAATCACTTATATTCCTCTGCATGAATATCACTAAACTCAATCATAGCCTTTATGATCACTCAATCAAAAGTGACTTATGACTAGGTCAAAGTTCAGTGGTCATCATGTAGGAATTCATGATGATCTTAGGTCAAAGGGCTTAGTGATATAGTTACATATGAGATATCCTTATGACTTGTAGCATACAGCTTTCTCATAATGGGTCGGTCCAGCACCTTGTACTCTTTTAAGTGCCTATGACTTTAATTTGTATCTCTATAATTAATCAAAGTCATACTAGTCTTGTTTCATCTATGATCCCTTAAAGATGACCAACCAGAGACATTTAAAACAATCACTATAGTTTGTCCAGGGATACAATTATCAAATTAAATATACAATTGTTATAATAACAAAAGAGAAATTCATTAAATAACAATGTGCATAGTATAATGATTGGCCCTAGGGCACAATTTTCAACAGTGAGAATACCCACTATCTCTAAAAAGAAGATTTAATGCTTCCATTAGATCTGAATAAACTTGCACATTATGTAGCTTTTGTTGTTTACATAAAAGCAATCCTGCTTTGATAGCTTGCAATTTAGCCTTCAGGATTAAGACTATCCTAAGTGCTTTATTGGAAGCCAAGCACCCGACTCCTTGATCATCACACAAAAGTCCACCACATACTACATATCCATCTTGAGTAACTGAAGCATCTACGTCTAGCCGAATAGTTCCATAGGGTGACGAGGACCATTCATCTATCTTAATGAATGAGCTTTTAAAGATCTAATGTTGTTATTTAGCAATGTCTCAAGCTCTCAAAATGTGTATTGCACTCTCCTCGCATTGGCAATCAAAAGGGCGATTGGGCTCATTGGTAAAACCTCTCTTAGCTTTGAGTGAATTAGTAAGAACCTTCTCATGAGAAGCTTGTCATAAGAAAAATTTCACTTTCTCAAGTAAGGGCTATTTCAACATTTTTACCCATAAAGGTTTTGCTAGTCTATAGTTTATACTATTGATGGAATTATAAGCAGCCTTCATACTAAAGCTTCATAATTAGTTTGTCTCTATCTGAAAGTATACTTGTTGGCCCTATAAGGTCATTTGATTTTATTGATTCTATCAATCACCCAATAGGGGAGGATATATCTTTAAAGTCCTATATTCTAATGACCGCTTAACAGCACATTATGTCTCACCATTTCTAGTTAATTAACCTAAAAATGTATTCTATCAGCATAAAACAATAGGGGTTGCTCAAGATTAGTCCATCTATCCACCTAGAATCTCGAGTTAAGCCCATTGCAAACTTTTTTTCCCACTCCTTTAATAAATGAGTCCTATATTGTTGTGATTGCACACCAAAGTATAGATAAGTTGGATTTTTTAGTAACAAGGTATTCTTCCTCTCTACAGCCATACTTCATTCTAAGGCATCTGACCTAAAGGTTCCCTTTATTTGTGAGGAATCCCCAACACAATTTCATAATAAAAGTCGTGTTTTGCCTTTGAAGATCTTTTATGCTTAAGCCCTTAAATTCTTTCGATTGCTTAATAGTCTCTTACGCAATAAGGTACATTTTCTTTCTCGACTCTTCCTAACTATAAAGGAAATTCCTATTAAGTTTTTCCATATCTTATAGAATGCCTTTCAGTAAAAGCATGGTTTGCATTATATAGGTAGGAATGGCTAATAGCAAAGCCTTGATCAATATGGTTCGGCAAGCAATAGTGAGAAAACTTATCTTCAAGAAAGAGAGTCTCTTACGAATTCTTGGAATCAAGGGCAAGAACGTTAATTTAGTGACTTGATCATGTATGAGCGGCAATCCAAGATATTTACCCAGATCATTTGCAAGGCCAATACCCAAAATAGAACTAAGCTTCATACCTTTATTGTGATGAAAGTTCTTGGAATGAAACACCTTAGATTTAGAGATATTAATTCTATAATTGGAAACTTAAAAAAAAATCTCTGTGGTATCTTTAATGATAATTATCTATTCCATAGAAGCTTCCACAAAAAGAAATAAATCATTAGCCAAAAAAAGATGTGAAATGAAACATCCCCTTTTCATAACCTTAAATGGTTTCTAGCTCCCATTCTCACAATGATGCTTGATGAGCTGCCCCCAAGTCTTTCCATGCATATATAACAAAGAGCTTCCACAAAAAGAAATAAATCATTAGCCAAAAAAAGATGTGAAATGAAACGTCCCCTTTTCATAACCTTAAATGGTTTCTAGCTCCCATTCTCACAATGATGCTTGATGAGCTGCCCAAGTCTTTCCATGCATATATAACAAAGATATAGGGGCTCAACGGGTCATTTTGATAAACTCCTTTAGCAGGAGAGAATTCATATGTCACTTCCCCATTCCACAAAATCTTCATGAAAGCCAAGCTAATGCAGGTCATTATCACTTTCGCAACTTAGGGATCAAGCTGCAAACTCTTTAAAGTATC